GGGGGGAATGTTTGACATGATTAGGCATTACCTGAAAAGGGATTAGCAAGTACAAGGTGTATGTTTAATGTTCAAAACTCTAACAGTGGTGATAATGGTGGTGGTGATTATTCAGCTCATTTATTAAAGAATATGTATTGAGTACCTTAATTGTGTGACTGGTGCTAACAATAAAACCATAAACAAGATAGAAAAATGTCCCTGTCCTCCTGAACTTACAGTATAGACATAATCAGGAAATAACTTTCCTGGACTTTTGTTCTTTCCTTTAGGTATTCTAAAATTTATGTCCTCTTACCCTACTGTTATCGAGTCAATTCCAGTTCATAATGCTCTTTGAAGACAGAGTAGTACTGCCCCTTTGGGATTCTGAGATTTTAATAAATCTTTACAGGAATATACAGCCTCATGTTTCTCTCACAAAGCAAATGGTGGATTCAAACTGCTGAATTTTCAGTTAGCAGTTCAGTAGGTAAATCCACTATGCCACTGGAGGTCTCCTAATTCTTTTTTTTTATCTTAATTAGGTAAAATTTTTTTTTTTTTTTCGTGTCAAGGTCTCAGTTTATTGTTACAGCGTTTTAATTAGGTAAAATTATATTCAATTCATATACATTAAAATTCAACTTATTCACTGAAATCCTCCCAACAAACCATAACTTATCTCACTTCCTCCGGAGACTTCTTGTTTTCATTATCCATGCTTTCCTAATACTCTGAACTTTGTCTTGGGGTAAATGCTGCCCTTTTGAGCTGAACTGGTAGATTATTCTCATACAGGGGTGAGTTCAGTTCCAAACTGGCTTGGTCTCTTGTATGACTTCCAGTTCTGTTCCATGTTTTTCTCCCATTCTACTCAGGACTTTCTAATGTGATCCTTTCCAGAGCACTTGGTAGTGATAAATGGAACCATCTAGTTCTCCTGGCATCCTACTAATTGGCTTCAACACTCACTGCTATTTGTTCACAGAAACTCTGGTCCATTTTAGCCTTCATTTTTACCAGAAAACACCTTATCTTTTATATGAGTCCCCAGGGCTGCTACTTCTGGGCTAATATAGTAGGCATATGCCTGTTGTGGCATATATCTTTTGTGATCACCACCATATGGTTCAAGAATGGTAATGTCTGGGAAAAGAGTAATAATCTCAGGGCAAGTGACATCCAACTGCGAGTTAGACACTTCAGGGTCATCTATTCTCAGAAAAATGAGTCTGTATCCATTCCCTGGTGCATTCTGACTTCCACAGACACCATCCTGCCATCTCTATTGATCAATATTTTTTTCTCAAGTATTATGAGTATCAGAATTAATACCTTAACCAAACCCATCTTGCTGTACTACTCTTTGACACACAAAAATTTATGATTCCACCTAACTTTATGCAAGCAAAACAGGGCTTCTCACCCATCTAAAATGCACGATAATCTGAACCCAAAACTTCCTAGGGTCGCAAGGAAAAAGCTCAACTATGTACTTCCTATGTAGTATCAACATTTGTTCATTTATTTACTTATTTAACACCTGTCAGGTACCTATTTAGACCAGATACATCATGGGCTAAGTGTATGAAGAAAATACAGCTCCTTTCCTGTAAATCCTTCTAGTGAAGAAGTTAGATGTGCAAATTATTTCCTACATTACAATGTGAGATAAATATAATTGGTTGTATGAATCACATACAAGAGCTGACAAATGGAAAGTGCAGAGGTTTCATTTCTCGTTGCACAGATGAGGAAAACCTGCATTACTATGAAAGTGTGAAATACTTAGGAGGTAGAAAGTGTAGGCCCCAAGGAGTACATCTGGGAACAGTAGGTGCTCAGGCTGGCATCAACATGTATGAGGTGGCCTGCCAATGAGATGAGCTTAGCTCTTCCATACAACAACCAACTACAAGTGCGGAACAGCCCCCTCCAAGCAAAGAAAGCACTGACCAGCAATAGTAAGGAACAGCTGACCACCATGAGTCCTCAAGGACCAGCCCAACTACCACAAACCCGGAATAGCCAACAACCAGCACAAAACAATCAGCCATTCAAAAGCACAGGGAAAAAAGGACAGAGAAGAGGTCTGCTCAATGGAAGTCATACAGCAAGGCTCAGAAGACCTCACTGAGAAAAAAACTCATCCCTTGTGCATGTGTCAGCAGAAATGCCCCAGATACTAGTAACCCTTCAAGAAAGCATAAAGGAGCAGTCAGACCAATGATATTTGTATGTTATCACCAGCTGATAAGGAGGGCAAAACAAAAGAGACTGAATCAATTAGACCAAAAGCAAGTCTCAGGTGGACTCCAGCACTACATGTAGTAACCCCAGGCACATAGAGAGGTCCAGAGATCCTCAACAGCCTGATGGTTTTACAGTGGACCCAATAGAGTCCATATCTGACAGCAAAAGGGATACCTATTGTGATTATTATAATCAATAAAATCAACCTGTTGTGAAAAGGGTAAAAGAAAGAAAGAAAACCGAGTCTCCGGTCTCAGTACCACCACTTAAAGGCTATATATATGATCTATAAGCAAGTCACTTATTCTGTAAAATATTTGAGAACCTATTATTTACTAGACTCCATTCCTGGAGCTTCTGTTTTCTCCTCTGTTATGTGCCAGGACTGTCTGGTAATATTGTGAAAATCTTATGAAATCATGCAAATTAAAAGGCATGTAGTAGATGTAGAATATGAATAGTCTTACATATTCCTTTAAAAGCTTACAAGAGCCTCTTACATTGTCTTCTATAATCTTTACAATGCCATGAAGTGGGCATCAATGGCCTTTTTAGAGAGAGGTAAAATGGGCTGCCCACGGTCACACAGCTAGTAAGGGGCAGAACCCGTATCTCATGCAATTCCCATGAGCGTTCCTAATAAACATACACTATTAATGAATAATTCAAGACAGACTGTGGCAAAGATGGTTACAAGACTGCTGACAGTAATTAAGTATCAAAAGATGATCCCTGCTAGGAATTCAGAAAATTAACAGGCACTTCTGACAGGATGATCAGAATGGTGTATGGAAAAGATGAACCTCTGAGAATGAAACATTTGGGTGAGAAGGCACAAGAGTAAGAATCAAGGAAATAGTACAACATTTGGGAAATAAGGAGAGCAAATGGCCAGAGCACTTGGCAGAATGGAGGAGGAAAATCAGGGTAGCAGAGGCAGCGGTAAGGGGCATCACACACGGAGGGGCTCTGTATGGGCTCCCCTGGTGTAACCAATGGTTGGAAACAGGTGTCCTAAATAAACCACCCCTTTCTTCCAGCCTTCTTCAGAACCAAAGCAAATAAAAGCAGGAGCGTAACACACATCTGACCATCTTCAAGCAATGGAATTTTGAAACTATCTCTTTTTTCCCCTTCTACCCCAAACCTAATTGGCTAACGTGAACAATAACAAATGATACAGTAAGGCTTGGGTCCTTAAGAAAACTCAAACCTAGAAACATTATAAGGGCATGAATGAGCAGCAATGATTGTGCTGTACTATGCTTCCGGGAAATAATTTCTACAATTAATACACGAGTTGACCTTGTAACATAAACGGCTAAAACGAGCCATTAATTGGCCCAGCTGGGTCAACGGAAAGAACACAACTGAAATCTGGATGCAGTCACGGTGTTCACACGGTCTTGGGACAGTCACGTGAATAAAGTTTTGGAAGTGAAAATGCGGTTCATCACTACTTTTTCATCACCAAGAAGCCTCACATGCCAATCAGTTCACCAAGCCAAAACGACATTCTCAGAAGTAATTGCTCTCTGATGATAATGTAAAACTCAGATGACCAGCCCAAGGTCATGCGAAATTTCTGGGCCAGGTGCTGGTATCGTGATGCCTGAGTGCTCGGCCTGCCGCTTCCCCGGTCAATGGGCAATGAGCGTCTCAACGGAAAAGGTGGCCGAGGGCACCCGGTGAGCAGGAGAGGGAGCGCAGGCCCTGACGCGCAACAGAGCGCAAAGGCTGCCGGGAAGGCTTCTCGCCAGTCTGACCCGGATGTCCGCGGAGCGGCGGCAGCGAGGTCGGCACGCGCCAGTCCAGCTGGTCCCTCCTTCCACCCTCGCGCCCCTTGCGCGGGGGACTTCCGTTACCTTTCCTAGGCCTCCGCTCATCCTTCGTTGCTACTGCCTATAAAGATGCCAGCCGAACGTCCACTCGGGCGGGCACGGATCCCGGAAGGCGGAGCAGACTGACGGAACGGCTTTGATCGGGCCGGTAAAGAGATTGCACCGAGCCGCGCTCGATCCCGCAGCACTTTGGTTCCGGAAGCTCCGGAGATGTCACGCCAAACTCCACCCCCACTCCAGTCAAGGGTCGCTTCCAGGGCTGTTTGCCCAGGCAGAATAATTGCCTTCTCTGTGCTGCCCCGGGACTCTGCACAGCGCTCCGCTAGTTTTCACCAACCACGTTGTTGGGTGCCGCGGAATGACAGTGACGGTTCCCGGAACAACGGAACATTGCCCCGTCCTGAAACACTGCCTGATCTTGTGCCATCCTCACAATCGTTGCTAGTGTGAGTCTGTGATTGCAGCTTCTTTGTCGATCTAGCGCGTTGAAGGTCTTCTAACAAGCTGGACGTTCTCCTTATAACATGTACCAAGTATGTAAAATGAGTCTCTCGCCATTATCACTTCTAAAGAGCATGCTGACGGTAGTGGTTCTGACAAAATTATGGTCATTCTTCTGGCCGTCTATGATACACTTAATGTTCTTCACCAGCATCATAATTCAAGGACATCGATTCTTTATTTATTGTCATCTTGCACACGCATTTGAGGCCATTGAAAATACCATGGTGAAAAAAAGAAAGAAAGAAAATATCGTAGTGACAGCTTTGCTTTTTAACATCTCAAAGAAATCTTTCGCAGATTTGCCCAATGCAATATTATATATACTAACTCTTCCCCTCATTTATTGTGAGCCCTTCAAGGTCTGAGGTCCTGCTTGATTAATTCATCCCAGAAAGAGAGAGAAAGAAAAGTAGATTAACCTTTTTGACATTCAATTGCTGCATAAAAATTAATTAGAACTTCCTTTTATTGAGTGACCTTTATGTGTAATGCATTATGTCCAGTGCATCACTTGATGTATTCCTCACAACAATCCTGTTAGTAAGATCACTTGATTTTTACAAATAAGGACACTAGGTCAAGGGATTCAGAGACATGTCTGATGTCAATCAAAAATAGGCAAAGCTGAGTTTCAAACTCAGTTTCTGTTACTTCAAAGTGCTTTTCCTCAGACATACGCCTTCCCATATGAGGTAATAAGATCACTGCACGCATTATTACTTTACACACATGAGCCATCTACTTAGGACTAGTCAGTGACAGGCCTGTGGTTGAACTGAGATGAAGGTAAAACAGTCCCTGCCATTATGTGGTTCCTAGAGATAAGTGGGGAGGCCAAGTCATAAATAGGCATTATAAAACAACAAGAAATTCCAGTTACAGAGGTAGATATAAATTTTATATGCAAAAGTGACACATAAAATGTACACATACCTTTTGTCAGCAAAGGGAATCCAGGCTGTGATTGTTATTGCTACTGCTACTGTTTCTAGTATTATTATTATCACTGTTGCTCTTGGCAAGGAGAAGATGTAAAATTTGATCAATCTCAATTGATGGCTGATGATAGTCTGCTTTGTTGTCACAAACCATGATTCCTTTTGCCAATTTTTTTTCCTATGATGAAATTCCAAGGGGCTGTAAAGAACAGTGTCGGTCCATCTGTTTCCCCCAAAGGTAGCCCTTCTCCCTTTGGGGCAGATTTGCTAGGAGACCATTTAGAGAGATAAATTGTCATCCTTACTTCACCACAGTGATGGTAAAGCTAGTCACTCAAAAGCTCACTGCCATCAAGTCAATGCTGACTTATAGAAGAGCAGCTGGTAGTTTCAAACTGCCAACTGTTCAGGTCACAGCCTAGCCTGTAACCACTATACCACCAGGGCTCCTCCATCTAAAAGCTATGGGGATTTTAAATGTGCATTTTTAATAGGAAAAAAATAGGCAAATATCTATCAAGTACTTAGAATGTGTCAACTCAAGTCTTTTCAGCTATTTGAGTTCATAAAGTCTTCCCAATAAGTCTGAGGCTGATGATCATTATACCAATGCCATAGATGAGGAACAGAGGCACTAAGAAGTTACTTCATTAAAGTAAGGCCACTTTGCAACTGTTGATCTATCTGATTGTAATGTCTGCATTCCTTCTACTATATAGGACTGCAATTGCAGATTTTCAAAAGGGCAGTTTGGCTAGGCTGAAAATATTTCTTTCCTTGTCTAGGCCTGGTAAATGCAATCTTTTAGAATACAAATCCATTTTCCTACATTCCAGGGGTGGAGTTAGGGAACAGAGAGAAGACATAGATAATTCTTTTAGAGTACTTGAAAAGTTCAGAAATCTCAGATCCTGCAAACAAAATCAGTAGAGACAATGTAGCCATCTCCAAGAATGTATAGAGAGGGATATTTTTGTTGCCAGCTCTGCTGCTGGTGTCATGTGTTCTGAAGGAACAAGACCCCCCAAAGCACACTTCTACACAGATATGACCAGAAGCCCTTACATATCAATCATTCTGTGGCTTCTCTGACTTATTTTGCCTACATCTCCACCCTGGCTCCTATCCAGGTATCAACTTTTTGTTTTGTGCTTCAACCTTTTATAGACTATACACCTCACTCCTAAAAATCAAGAATGTATATTTTTCACCTTTGTATCTGCAACTTGTAGTCCAAGGCCAGGCCCGTGATTAATATACATCTGGTATACTAAACTTACCTCTTCTTCTTTCTCCTTTTTCTCCCACCTGAAACCCATCCCCACAATGATATTTCTTGTCAGCACCTTCACAAGTGGTAAAGTAGAGTCACAGAGTGGGAGAAAGTGAGTAAAAGAATTTAGAGATAGACAGACCTTAGATCTAGTCTTTCTCTTTGACAAAGAAGGATGGGTTATCTGGAGACTTCAGGGTTGGTTAAAATGTATGTAAAAGAGGGAAAGTTAATGTCAAAGGAAACTGGAGATGCCAGAGTTAGAGTGGCTTTGACTAGTCCGGATCCAGTGAGGAATGGAAAGAATAGTGGAAGAGAACACAGATCCAGTGAGACCAGTCAGAAGATTAAAGTAGGAGAATTAAATGAGATTTTAGATCTTTTAGGATAACTATCACCCACATGTGACTGTTAGGTACTTTATACATAACTAATGCAATTTAAAAACTGACTTTTAATTTAATATGTTTTAATTAATTTAAATGTAAATGTAACTGGCTATTACAAGATATAACCTCTGGGGTCTTAGAGGCTTGAAGTTAAACAAGCGGCCATCTAGCCAGGAAGCAACAAAGCCCACATGGAAGAAGCACTCTAACCCATGTGATCACGAGGTGTCAATGGGATCAGGTATTAGGCATCAGAAGACCCAAAACAACCATTTTGATGTGAGCGATGGGGGGTAGAATGGAGACCTAGCAAAGCCCATCTGTAGACAATTGGACATTCCCTCACAAAAGGATCACAAGGAAAGGATGAGCCTGGCAGGGTGCAGTTTAACACCTACGAAACACACAACATTCTTCTAGTTCTTTAATGCTTCCTCCCCCCACTATCATGACCCCAGTTCTATCTTACAAATCTAGCTAGACCAGAGCATGTACACTGATACAGATAAGAGCTCTCCACACACAAAATCCAGGATAAACCCCTCAGGACCAATAATGAGAGTAGCAATACCGTGAGGGTAGGGCGAAGGTGTGGGGAGAAGAGGGAGAAAGGAGGTACCGATCACAATGATCAACATACAACCCCCGCCCCTCCAGGGGCCGAACAACAGAAACATGGGTGACGGGAGGCAACATATGGTATAAAATTCAAAAATAAAAATTATTTATAAATTACCAAGGGGGGAAAATTTATCAAGGTTTCATGAGCATGGGAGCGGGGACGAAGGGAATAAAGAGGAGCTGATAACAAGGTCTCAAGTAGAAAGAAAATGTTTTGGAAATGACATCAAAATATGTACAAATGTGCTTGACACAGTGGATGTATGGACTGTTATAAGAGTTGTAAGGGCCCCCAATAAAATGATTTATTTAAAATAAATAAATGTAACTGTAACTGACCCATATAGGTAGTAACTCCCAATAGTGACCTATAGGATAAAGTTCAAACTCCAAAATGTGACTACCAAGCCCTTTATTCTCTTAACTCCTGTCTATCTACTAGCCTTAATTTTTACCTTCTTCAACACAAATATTATTCCCCAGTCCAAATAATATAAAATCCAAGCATAATGCTCGTTGTTACATTTCCTTGCCTTTGTTCCTGCAGTTCCCTCTGCAGAAATGACCTTTCTATTTATTCACCTGGAACACACCTACTCTTTCACACACAACTCAAATGCTACCTTTCCTATGAAGCCTCTTCCAAGTCCCTTCTCTGTACTTTAGACTACTGATTATGCTCAGTAGTATATCGAGTTAATTCTAACTCATAGTGACCCTATAGGACCAAGTAGAACTGCCCCTGTGAGTTTCTGAGACTGTAACTTTTTACAGGGGTAAAAAGCTTTTTCTCCCACAGAGTGGCTGGTGATTTTGAACTGCTGACTTTGTGGTTAGCAGCCCAATGCTTAACCACTACACTATCAGGGTTCTTCCCTTGGCACAATGTATGGTAATTAATTGTTTACTTGTATATCTTCCTTCACTAGATTGTGAACTTTTTCAAAGGAATATTCATTCTTTTTCGTTATTTAAAGTCATTTTATTGGGGGCTCTTACAGCTCTTATAACAATCCATACATCCAAGACAAAGCGGGTGCATAAGCAAATGTGGTGAAGAAAGCTGATGTGCCTGGTTATCAAAAGATATAGCGCCTGGGGTCTTAAAGGCTTGAAGGTAAACAAGTGGCCATCAGCCTGTGTGATCATGAGGTGCTGAAGTGATCAGTTATCAGGCATCAAAGAACAAATATTCATATCATTGTGTGCTCACCTCCCTGATAAAATCGCTGAAGACAAATGGTGCATAAGTAAATGGGGCAAAGAAAGTTGATGGTGCCCGGCTATCAAAAGATATAGTGTCTGGGGTCTTAAAGGCTTGAAGGTAAACATAGTGAATGAGGGGGGTAGTGCGGAGTGGAGACCCAAATCCCATTTGTAGGCCACTGGACATCCCTTTACAGAAGGGTCTCAGGGAGGAGACAAGCCAG